TGATAGGTCACTGGGTGACCAGGAAGGGCATTTCCTTGGGGTCAAGGACCTCTGTGGGATTTGGGGCTGTAATTTCCCTGGGCCTGGAAAAGAGCTCCCCAAATAAGTAAGGAGTTGAACTGGTCCTAAGCATCCAAAGTCAGAGCAGGCTGGAAAGGGAACTGGACGTGCAGAGTCCAGAGTTGAAACATTGGAGACGGAAACTCTTATACCTAGGCCTCAGTTTCCCCACCTGCAAAATGGGCACATTATTGGCATTGAATTTCATGAACTAGTGCATGAACTAGTACACATTCAAAACACAAATCTGGGTTGAGGAGTGGAATGGCCTACCCTGGGGCTGGTAAACTTTTTATTTTACCAATTTTTAAAAAGATACCATCTGCTCTCACTATGATGTTGTGAAAGAAATGACATCTTTAGTACCCCTACCCCCTACCCACGCCCAGGCAGTCTCCTTCCCCTCCCCCCCAGGCCTTGACTCAATGCCCTTGGCTTTCTCCTTGCACTTGCAGCTGGTGAAGGCTCACCCAGGTTGGCAGAGGCCTGGCACACTGGACAGCCATGGGATGAAGCTCTGGAATGCTCTGAGAGCAACCACAATGATCACTGCTGTCTTGCCTTCCTACTAGTAGGCACTTCTCTGAGATTTGCTCCAGTGTGAATAGGTGGTCACCCTCATGCATAACATCTCAATATGCACCTGTCTGTGCCTGGCTATGTGCTGAGCAGTTTACTTGCGTCAGTTCATGTGATCACCCCTCTGCCCTGGGAGGTGGGTCTACTATCAGCTGCATTTTCTGCTGAGGAAACTGAGGCATAGTAAGCAGGCTCCCTAGGTCACACAGCAGAGCCAGGTTTGATCCCTAGCAGCCTGACTAGAGCTTCCTGGCAAGTCCCTTCCCCTTGTAGGCTTCAGTCTCCTTACCTGTGAACTCTGGGCATGGGGTCCTGGGCTGCTGTGTCATTCAGTGATGGCTTGGTGAGGGGTCTCAGGCACTCAGCGACCTCTGAGGTTTTGAGGCTGCCAGGAGGAGTTGAGGGGTCACAGTCTCTGATTTCTGCAGCTGCAGCCATCGTGGGGGACACCTTCCTCTCCTGAAGGTTTTCTTCACAGCTGCCCAGAGTGACCAGTGGAAGGAAGGAGGGAGGGAGGCTCATTGGCTGCTCTGCTCCAAGTAGCTTGTCTGCAGTTGTCCCCACAGGTTGGCGAGGCCGCTGTGCAGTCCCCTTTCCCAGCAGTGTTCACAGCAAAGCCTTTGTTTGCTCTCAAGTCCAGGCCCCAGTCCCTGAAACTTCCACCTCCCCAGCTTGGCAGGCGCCACAGCCCTGAGGGCTAGAACGGTCCCAATACCTTGTATGGGAGCTGCAGGCCTGGTCTAGCTGCCTGTCCCTCCTCCTGCCCTCTGTCCTGCCATGGGCAGCTACCTGAGTTGCTATCCCAACTGGACCCCAAGGCTAGGTAGAGGAAGTGACAGGAGGTTCCCACATTCATGCTCAGATCTCCAGGAAGCCACCAGCCCATGGCACCCACATTGCCCTCAGTCAGCAATATACTGGGTGGGGGGAACCCCAGGGTTTCCCAATCCTTGCCACTGAGGAAGGGGAGAGGAAGTTGGAATAGAAGGGAAAGGGGAACGGGGAGGAGACTCGGGTGAGTGTTAGGGTGACGGCCTTGTTGCAGAGATGGCTGACCTGCATTGGAGCCCTGGTCCTGGCCATGTGAGGTGACCTGTAAAGTGCCCAGTGGGCCTGGTGGTGCCCAGCAGGGCCTTGGCTAGGAGTCCAGGCTGCCACTGCTCTAGGGAGAGTGTATGAATTTGGCCATCAACTTGGTATCTGACACTTTATCCAGGTGCTGTTCTAAGCTGTCTACACATATTAGCTCATTTAACCCCCATGACCCTCAGAGATATTACTATTCCCATTCTGTATTTGAGGAAACTGAGGCACAGATTTATTTAAGGAGTACATTTTCTTCTGCCGGGCTGGTTGCCTTCAAGAGAGAGGGCTGTGTGTGTGTGTGTGTGTGTGTGTGTGTGTGTGTGTGTGTCTGGATCTCCTGGTCACCTGGCCTAAAGCACAGCCCACAGGGCAGGCCTGGCCTTGGTCAAGCAGTGGTCACTGGCAGAGCTGGGCCTCACTGGGGCCTGCTTGGGTAGCTGGCACTTTAGGGACAGATGTTTCTCCTTTTGGGAAGACCCTACCTGCTGCCTCTACTTTAGGGAAAAAGTGACCCCCCTCTGTAGGGGTGACAGCCAGGGGCGTCCCCAGTGTGTGTGTGTGTGTGTGTGTGTGTGTGTTGCTGGATCTCCTGGTCACCTGGCCTAAAGCACAGCCCACAGGGCAGGCCTGGCCTTGGTCAAGCAGTGGTCACTGGCAGAGCTGGGCCTCACTGGGGCCTGCTTGGGTAGCTGGCACTTTAGGGACAGATGTTTCTCCTTTTGGGAAGACCCTACCTGCTGCCTCTACTTTAGGGAAAAAGTGACCCCCCTCTGTAGGGGTGACAGCCAGGGGCGTCCCCAAGTCCCAGGCGATATAACTTGTGCCTTGTTCCTGTCTTTGGAGACACTGCCTGAGTCAGCTAGACTCCGGGCCTCGCCAGACTTTGGAGCCAGGCCCACTGGATTGGGGGTCTGTGGGTCTGTGATGCATGGATCCCACATACTCCACTCAGCTCTCTGCCCCAGAGCCCCAGGTAGTCCACCTGACAGCCCTCACCTATGTTTCTCAAGCTCCTTTTTACTTGACCAAGCAGAGAAAGGGAGTGTTGGCCTTGTCCTGGATTCATATTCTGGCTCTGCCACTCACTGGTTTCCCTTGGGCCAGGTCCTATCACCTCTTTGAGCCTTAGTTCCCTTGTCGGTAAACTGGGGACAAAAGTGCCCACCGCAGGGGAACTGTCAGGAGCAGTGGCAATAGGGCACAGGAGAACCCATGTGCCAATGGTTCTCGGGGGAGGCCCAGGACCTCCTGGGGCTGAGGAAGTGAAACCAAGCAGGGCCCAGTCCCCAGCTGCTCAGAGCCCGACAGGAGAGACTGTCCACGTGTAACATGTGCGCACGCACGCACACACGCACACATATGCGCACGCATGCACACACGCACTACCCATCACCAAGTCCTTTGTATAGGTTGCTTTTGTTTTATGTTTTACCAAGCGTCGCCCAGTTCATTAGCATCCCCGTTCCCAACCTCACCTGATTCTAAGATTCACTGAGTGTCTGGGGGTTGGTTTTACAGCTTTTGAGTAAAATTCAGATTTCGTAGGTTTGGGGTGGGCCAGGCACCTGTCATTTTGGCCAGAGTCCCAGATGATGCCAATGTTCAGGCACATGTGAGGATTTTGGTCATTCACCCGCTCTGCCCAAGAACCCAGGAACTTCAGCAAGGGACGGTTTTACAGATGAAGAAACGGAGGTTTCCCAAGGAGAACTTGGAATTTGTCATACCGTTCTCAGCAAAAGCCCAGCAGTGGCAATAGGGCATAGGAGGACCAGTGGCACATGAAAACCTGAGGGAGATGGGGCTGTCCGGGCCGCCCTGGAGGGTGTTCTGCACGTGTGGGAAACCACAGCTGAGAAATGCCTGTCCTCCCTCAAGCTCACCCGACGCTGGTGTGGGCTGTAATATGAGTTTTATACCCTTTGGAGGGAACTCAGATGCATGCTGGAACACATTCCACTCTCTAGCAGAGAGCACATAGGGCCCATCCTTCGTCTGTGGACCTCCCTGCCTTTGTCCTCAACGTCTGCCATTGCTGTTATCCTGGTCGAGGAGCCCTCACAGCTAAAAGGTAGAAGATATTTACTCCTATATTGAGTGTCCCCAGAGTCCTGAGCCCTAAATGTTCTGTTTGACCAATATTCACAGAGCCAGGCTCTGGGCAACAGAAGAGCAAACAGATAGTGACATGATGGGCTGGTGAGTGTGGCCTGGCCCATGGAGCCCAAGCATGTCACGGCCTTTGCCCTGGGTATTTATTGCCGTGAGTTACTTGGGGAACAGTGTGCCCGGCTAAGGGAACAGCATGAGCGAAGGTGTGGTTTAGTAGTCCCTGGAGTCTTGGGTGGGCTCCAGATGGCGGAGGACACTTGAAACTTGACTTCCAGATAAGTGACCAGTCGTCCAGACTAAAGCACCTTCGCTCTGAAACAGGGGCACTGGCGGCAGACTTTGTGGGTCCATCACCCTCGGTCTTGCTGACTCCCAGGCTGTTTCATTCTGCAGGCACCGAACTGCCCTTGAGCTAAATTTCTAGGTTAGGGTGAGGAAAGGGTGGAGCTAGGAAGTTAGACAAAGTCTTTCCTCACTGAGCAGAGACAGGTTTAAAAGAGGAACGAGAACGAATGGGGAGCTTGTTTACAAACGCTTACTGAGCTGGGAGTTTTCACGCGGTATTATGCCCACCTTACAAAGGGTAACACAGAGCCCAAGAGGTGACTTGCCCAAGGCCCTACGGCAAAGAGTGGCCCTGGCCGGTTTCCATGGAGCTGTGAACCCCACAGAGCTCTGGTGTAGCGTTGGCTGGGAGTGGCTGGGCAGGGAGTGGGCACTGGGCCACTGGTGTGCCATTAGCTGGCCTTGCCACCCAGGGCCTGTCTCTCTCCAGTTTCTATACAGCGAGGGAGGGGCTGCTCTCTGTTTGCTTTCACAGCCAGTGAGAGGAGGTGGTGTTAGGGTTCTTACAGCTCAAAAGGGGAAGTTTGAGGAAATGAAAACCAAGCCTTTCTTTTTTCTCGAATCTCTTTTTGTGGCCTCCAGAAATAATCCTGGGTTCTGCAGAGCCCGCTTCAGGATCATGGCTGACCACCCCCCCCCCCCCCCCCCCCCCCCCCCCCCACCCCACCCCCACAACCCTCACTTCCGGCAAAACCAGGCTGGGGCCCCGGGGTGGTGGGGAAGCTGACGGGAGAAGAGTGGCAGGCTTGTGGCTGGTGAGTCAGTGCCTGGAGGCTGTTGCCTGCTGACTCACCGCCTGGTGCCTGAAAACAGGCCCCCAAGCGCCCAGCAGACATCATGGCGGCCCTTCTCGTCCACCTAATCCTCTCCTTTGGCTAAGCTGTGGTGATGGCGGCGGCGCCCGGCGTGTGCTGGAAATCTAAGTGGCGTTTGGGGTCTGAACCCCGTCAGACAGGATCCGAGAGGCCTGCCTGTTCCCGGACCCCTGCCTTCCTGTGGCGCGGGCCCGGCTGAGGGGCCCAGCCAGGCGGTGTCATGAGACTTCCTCCTTGAAGCCTCTCATTCCCTCTTGACTCAGACGCGTGCTCCGGTCCTTATGAACTGGCAGAATAGTTTCTGTTACTTTGACAAGACAAGCCCCTCCCCTGTCTCTGGACATTAGCACCTCGAGGGCATGCAGGTGACCCTGTGCCCCCTGCAGGGGCCGGCTGTGCAGTAGGTGCTCGGTCAGCGTGGGACAGTCAGTCGGGCGATTCCTCCTGACCAGCTCTCGGTGAGTAAGGGCCTGCTCAGTGCAGGGAACGGACTTGTCTGAGATCCAATGGCGTCAAAGGCTGACCCTGTTCTTCCCTCACCTGTGGAGGGGTGAGGGGGTCTAGACGCGATGCACAAGAACGTTTTCTTTTCTGTGTCCCTGGTGTTGTGGCCCTGGGCTAAGGGGAGGGAGTTCCACTGCCCATCCTTGGCTGGTGCCTCTTTGCAGCCACCTTCAGCCCATCCCCAGGGGCTCGGCTCACGAGGAAGAGGCTGGACAGCTCTGGGGTACCCGACTTGCAACTGCTTACAGGGAGAAGCTCACCATGAGCCTTCAAATCCCCTCTTACTCTGGGAGGGTTGGCCAGGTGGTCGGGGACAGGTAGGGGCTTTTAGCTGAATGTGCTGAGCCTTCAGTGGGACAGAGCAAGGCTCTCAGGGGCTGCCCACCCTTCGAATAAATCTAGGTCCTAACCCTGGCCTCCAGTCTCTGTCTCCTCTCCAGGTCACCCATGCCCTGCCCCCTCTTTTTCTCTGTTCCCACACTGGCCTTCTCTGTTCCTTTACCAAGCCCAGTGTGGCCCTCTTTGCACACGCTGTTCCCTGCTCTGAGAACACCATTCCCCCTGATGTTTGCAGATCTCGGCTTCAATATGGTTTAAAGCACAGACCCTGGAGCCGATAGTCTGGGTGCGAAAGAATCCCAGTGTGTGACTTGTGGGCAAGTGGCTCACCTCTCTGGGCCTCAGTCTTTCGTCCAGGCTTCTAAGAGGAATAAATGAGTTGGTGCCTGAATGGGCTAAGCATGGGGCCTGCCCAGAGCCAGTCCTCAGTGGCTGCCATTATGAAATGTCACCCCCTCATAGGGGCCTGCCGGCAGCTGGGCCCCGCCCCCCCCCCCCCCCGCCCCTTGCCCCATCACCTACACCTCATCCCGCTTGGCTGTCGTCTACGTACTGGCCCAGTCGTAACTCATGTTTGTGCTTAGTGTCCGTCTCTCCTTCTGGAATGTCAGCTCCTCAGGGCTCATGTCCACACCCCCAGTTCCTGGAGCCGTGCCTGGCACCTAGGGTAGGCTATCAGTAAATGTTTATCCAGCATGCACTGCTCGCTGAAGCCCCTTTGCTCTGTTCTTTTCCCTGGATATCCAAGATGAAAAGGGGAAGTACCTGCCCTGCGTGACCCAACGGAACTGAAATAGGCTCAGCTTTCTGACTCCTAGCCCACTTTCCTTCCTGAGTCCATGACTTGCTTGGCTGGTGCCTGGGCCACCTCTGTTTTGGGCATGATTGTGCCCACCTCACCTTCACTTGGGGGTGGGGGGGGGTGCCCAACCACACTGCTCAGGCCCCTCTGCCCTTCGCTAGGCCCAGCTCTGTGGGGGAGGGGAGGACCTCTGGTGCCTGGGCCACCTCTGTTTTGGGCATGATTGTGCCCACCTCACCTGCACCTGGGGGGGGGGGGGTGCCCAACCACACTGCTCAGGCCCCTCTGCCCTTCGCTAGGCCCAACTCTGTCGGGGAGGGGAGGACCTTCTCAGCCCCGCCCCCCTCCCCCTGCAGTTTGCACGTCCTCTTTGTTTCATCTCTGCTGCCTGCCTGTGGTCTCTGGGCTTTGGGTCAAGGCCTGCCATCTGCAAGGAGATAAGAAAAATATTTGGACCCAGTCCTCAGACCTTTTACCTGTAAATGTTTTTGTGTGGGGGTGAGGACAAGGTGGCTGTAGTACACCGGACCCACATCCTGCCCTGCTCCCTACCGGCATTGTCCCAGAGGCCAGTTCTTTGCAAAATTTGTCTCTATCTGCCCACATTTTCCTTTGCAAACCTCAGACCAAGAAGTATGACCTGCTCTGGTGGGCCCCTGTGTAGAGCTCACACTTGCCCCGGGATGGTGTGGAGTCAGAATTTGGGTGTAAATCCTGGCCCACTGCCTCGTGGCTGTGTGACCTGGGCCAGACCCTCCCCTTCTCAGAGTCTCCGCTTCCTGATCCGTGAAGGGGGAGGCTTCGTGTGGCTTGGGGAGAAGTAAATGTTTCTGAAAGCTGAAGGCTGAGCCCGAGCCAGGCAGGTGCCCTCAGCGGAGATGGGGAGGGGGTCTCTGAGGGTGACCTGAACTTTTATGGGGTGGGAGGTTGCAGTTAGATTAGGGGAGGGGAGGACCTTGCCCACAGACACTGAACCCAGGTGGAGAACAAGCCCTGTCCCCAGAGATGTCATGCTGAAAACAATTCCCCAAACAATTCACTTTCACTAGGACCAGAATGTTGTCACTCATTGTTTCGGCTTTGTTCCGGGCAAAACAATGCCAGGCTTCCTGGATGACCTCACTGGGGTGAGCCATCGGGCCTATGAGGCTGGGCTGATCAGATTGTCCTTTGCTGTGGCCGCCTTGGGTGACCCGGGCAATGATATGACCGAAGAGAGCAAACCGTGTTTATATTTGGCCCACACAGTGTCTTAGGAATTGGAAAGTCTGTATGCCCACACACCTCCGATTTCAACCTCTCTGGAGAAATCGGAGGAGCTGGCCCCGGTGGGTCCCAATCCCAGTAGCTGGAGCTGAGAAGAGCGACCTGTGGCTGGGCTCCCTTCTGCTGCAGTCCCTGCCCTTCCCTGTGGCCTCCCCACTGGACTCCTGTCCTTTGCCTGCCAGGCCCCTGGAGGTCTTTGAGCTTAGAGGCCTTAAGCTTATCACACCTGAGTTAGCCTGAGTTAAGAATAAATAATACAAGATAAACAGATACAGATCACGTGGCTCGATCAAATGATTTAATTGTTTAAAGATGTACCTTTATAAGAAAAGAAAAAAACACACACTTTAATTTCTCCTTTTCAAAAACAGCTATCCTCGGTAGAAGGTGAAATAGTGCTCTTAACACAGTTCAGGGTGCTTAATTGTTACATGTTTTGTTGGCTGGGATGGTATGTGGCAGATGGTATTACTCATTGACCCCAGCCCTCCTCGCTGAGCCTGTCCATTGCCTGGAATCTGTGGAGACAGTGCTCACAGGAGCCCCTTCAAATCCAGAAGAGAAATGTGGGAGACCCTGTTCACTAGAGGAAGCATCGGCCCATAGCACTGTCCATTCTGCCTTAGTCCATGGGTTTCATCAGCCCTCCCAGCTCATCCCTGTGGCCTGGGCACTGACTGCTCCCCAGGTCCCCAGGTCCCCAGACCCTGCCCCGTCTCTGCCATGTGTTCCCTCATTTCCCTGTTTGCCCTTCTCTACTTCCCTAACTTGTCAGCCCAGTCCAGTGGCTGGAAGTTGGCTTAAAGGCACCGGGCCTGATTTCACTTTGTGACTTTGCTAAAGCCAAGGGGTTGCATGGACACTGGAAGCCACAATAGACCTGGGAGCCATTTGAAGCTCCGGGGTCTTTTACTTGCTGTGTGACCCTGGGCAGGTGACTTCACCTCTCTGCACCTCATCATCAAGACAGAGATGGTAGCAGCCCCATTGAGGGACTAAGAAAATGCTTGCAAAGCCTTGGCACAGTGCTGAGTAAATGTGTGCAGTCAGTGGCCAATAAATGCAGCCTCTTTCTGTTCCCTTTTCTTTTTTAAGCACTCAGGACACCATGTCTGCCACGTGGTATAATAAAGTCCCAATGTGGTCAGCTGTTTTCTTCAATAATAGCTAATATTTATTAATCACTTCGTATGTACCAGTACCTATGCTGAAAATTTTATAGGCATCATCCTATTTAATCCCTGAGAGATGAGTTTTATTTTCATCCTCTTTTTTTTGAATCAGGGAGGAAACTGAGGCACAGGGAAGGTTGTCACTTGCCCCAGGTCACACAGCATAGTCATGACGTCAGTGAGCCCAGAACACTGGCTCTGGTGTGGATAGGGAGGCTGAAAAGGAGGGCAGATAAGGGGACAGATAAGCAGTGTGCTTCATTCTACAGCCCAACAGGCAGGGGGCTACTCGGGCCTCGGGTTTTCCCACTTGTAAAATGAGTCTGTCATCCAGGTGTCCTCCCCCAGTTCTGGGGTGCTGGGAGCTGCTTGCCTAACCCCCAGAGGTTTGCTGAGAAATAGCAACTGTTCATTCGGTCTTAGAGGCCAGCCACGTGGTAGGCCCTTTTGGAGTGTGTGTGGGGG